GATCTAAACAACCACTTTCATTTATATAATGAAAAGTCAAGTAAAATCATGTAAAAATAGTTAGTAAGTAGTATAATTGAAGATAATGTAATAACATTTTATAAAATAACAGATTTTTCGACATGCACAATGGCAGCTTTTATAGAGGTTATATAAAGATACTGTTGAATCTAACTTAAAATTAACAATATATCTTATAAAACAATTAAATAACGTATACTTAAAGTCTCGTAAACTAACCAACAGTGCTTAAAACCAAAATAAACAACAGCGAAAGAAAATACTTTTGTATGTATTTTCAAACATTGCAGTTTATCTCCCGGTAGCAACGTCGTGAAAATCAGGGTGATGTCTGATTATACATATTTTTCCCTCTACTTTCAAATATTTTTGTTAAAATATTCTTTACTTTACTGGTTTTAAAGATATCGATGGCGGACCTATTTACCCGCGGACCTTTAATCCCCGCTCTACCTTTTATATATTTACGTAACATTGAACACGATACAATTTAATAGACATAAAACAAAAAATACAATAGAGCCGACATTGTTAACTAATCGAGGCCCGCGTCCTCCCCAGAAAGTTCCTGAGCAATCACCTGTTCACCCCGCGAACTCATTTGCTTGCCGACCACCCCGTGGCACTCAGTATGACCGCAACAGAGCAATAAACAGGACCTACAGTTTAAACTACATCTAAACAAATAAATGTTGGACACATGTCGAATAATTTATTATCAGCATGTACATTCGATTTTATCAACTTAAACATACGCGTTAGGTTTAAACAAATGTAACAATGTATGTCATTAAGACGATATCCAAGTACAAATTTCGTTTAAAATAAATTTGATTCAAAAATTGAATTTAAAAACCCAATTTACGCAAACATTTGTTAATGAAAATATAGAGTGATGTGATTATTAAAAAACTGTGGATGTGCCTTTTAATAATATATGTAGTACGTAATGCACTCTAATGTAAATCGATAGTTGAATGTGAATTTAGAAAATTGGGCTCCATCCATTGGGCCCAAGGACTATTGTTGACTTATTTAAGTGCTTTTTGGCACAATGGGGATTTGCCTCGATACAGGTGAGTTGATGATAAACAAAGACATGTGATTTTTAAATCGTCTACACATTATTATTTCTGTTTATTGGGCCAGCGGTGGCGATATCGGTTAGGACGTGGGCTAGCACCAACTAGTCCCGGGTTTGCTGGTTCGATTCCCGCTACCGCCGTAGCCCTACATCAGGCAACTTTGATGTCAAATTTTCACTTGGGGTTATAGATCACAATATAATTTCAAGTGGAAATCGTCCTTCGTGGACATAGTTGCATCACTCAATCATATGATAACTATGAGCTAATATAAACCCCACACACAGGAAAATAGTAAACCGAAAAGTTGCCTCTCATAAAAATACGTTAGGTCATAAGTCGTCAACAAAGCTTATAGAACATCTAAAGTAAGAGTTCTGAATGCTGTTGAAACAATAAAAACAAATCTATTTATTACAACATATTTGTACCAGATTATAATTATCACAATAAATATATAAAGCCGATTGACGTTAATCAATTAAATAATTATGATAAAATTAAATCATCA